TCCACTCCCCCAACCCCGCCCCAGCCTCCCTCCTACCAGCCCCCTCCTGCCTGGTAACACAAGATCACCTCCGACTGAGCCTGAGAACTGAGCCCCAATTTTTCAAAATATTGTTTAAGCCTAAGATTCGAGGTATGAGATTCAAAAGAATCTTCCCTAATTTCTCAGGATTTCAGGCGATGCGGCAGCTGGGGGGCAGCCTGGAGGATCATGGGAACACAAGAGCGGTTCGCAGAGGGGGCTGTTCCGGAGCAGACCGCACACCGACTGACAGTGTTACGTGTGCGTGGGTGTGCGCGCGCGCGCATGTCGGCCTTGGTGCTTTGTGTCGGTGTGTCAGGGTGTCCTCTGCATGCCAGTGTGTGCTTAGTGCGAGGGGAGGACCGTGTGTGGGCACATGTGTGTCGGTGTGCATGTGTGTGTGTCTCCATGTGACGGCGGCTGAGAACTCTTGTCTTTGGGCTGCAAGCAGCTGGGGTGCCAGTTTCCCTGAGGGTTTCCATCTCCCCGTGGCTTAGGCCTCCCTTCTCGGGAAATGCAGCTTCTTGCCTCTCCATCCCTACCCGAATCTGCTCCCCTTTCCAGAGAAAGCCTCTGTGGCCCCAGCTGCAGAATGCCGGGGTAGGACACGGAGCCAGGCAGCCAGGAGGAATGAGGGGGCGAGGGTCCAGAAAGGCTGAGCGCCCCCGAAGCTCTGCCTGGCTGAGGACTTTGATCCCTGGGGGGATGGGCAGAGTCTGCTGCCTGATGGGTAAGCCTGGGAACCCCGGGCAGGAAGTCCTCTGTGGGTCTGTGCGTGTGCCTACGCGTGTGCGAGTATGGGTGAGCGGGGGAATAGGACAATCCCGGTTTTCCTGCCCTCCTCCCTCTCCCACCCCACACCCCCAGGCCAAGCTCCTTCCTCCAGGCCCGGTCTGCCCTGTGGGTGGGCCTCCTTCACCCCCAGGCCTCACCACGGAGCCCAACCAGGCAGTGACCCCAGACCTCCCTCAACGTACCTTTGTCTTGAGACACCCCGCCCTTCTTCCAGGTCTCCTCAGGGCGGATGTCCCTTCCCTGAGCTGGCCCTAACCACCATCAGCACTGTGGTGCCAACGGGGATTGTTACATGGCACTAGTTTGCATCTCAGAGTCAAGGAAGTTCTTTCACTGAGAGCGTTTTGAATGGACATGCACACTGCCTGTGTCTGAACACCTCCTTCCCTGGGGGCCTTCCGAAGCATCCTGTAAAGCCAGCCCTGCCACCCATAGGCTCGGGGAAGCCCAGAGAAGCAAGGGTAGCGAGCCTGGGGAAAGAGGTGGAGCCCCGGCCTCCCCGAGAAGTAATTCGTGTGTTTGTGCAATGGCCTGTTGAGGTTGAGGTCTTTCTCCTGCTAGAGGAGGGCGGGACCTAGGTCTTCACCAGGGCCTCTCCCAGAGCACCCGGCTCCTGGTTGTGGCTGCACAACAGACAAGTGTGAGGATGGACCAGTCAGTGCACGCGTGGGTTTTGGCAACACAAGGGCTTCTGCCCTGTGGCCCCCTTGGGGTCCGCGCCTCACTCTCCAGCTGGTTGGGGGGCTGCTGTGTGTGGACCAGCTGAGTCAGGCCTTCACCCCGGGCAAGGGGCCACCGAGACTCTCGCTGATCTTGCTGACGGGGCTGAAAATGCATCTGCATCTCCCCCTGCGACCCGCCATTCCTCATGGTTGGCATTTATCCCCAAGCAAGGGCTGACCCGCAGAGCAGCCCGAAGCCTCCCCTGTGTTCGGAGGAAGGGGTGGCTGGAGGCAGGACTGGGAGGAGGCACGGCAGGAACTGTGAGCAGCTGATCTGAGTGCAGTGACCATATTTTTCTGAGCTGAGAAATTAGGACACAGGATGTAGCTGAGGGTTTTCTCACATTTGTCTCATCAAAGGTATGAAAGTTAAAGCTTATTTAGCTATGTAGGGAATGGATTGTCTTTGTTGAAAAGAATCCGAGTTTCCAAAGTCAGGGAGATTCTGGAAATTAATAATTCAATTTGACTGATATTTGGGGGGGCACTCGGGTCAACCCTGTTGCTGGAGCTTCCGTTATAGCAACGAACAAAACAGGCATGATCCTGGCCTCATGGAACTCCTGTGGGGTGGCTGACGTTCCTCCAGTAATTGCACAAGTCACATGTGGGAAATGCTATGCGGTCGGGGGTGGGGCAAGCGGTCCCAAGTGGATGGGGGTGGGGGGTGTCCAGGAAGAGTTCTCTGAAGAAGTGATGTTTGAAGTGAGACAGGGTCTTTTAGGTTTGTTGTTGAAGGGATGGGAGTGGAATTGGGTGGGGGAAACACTTTTCAGGCAGGAGGAAGAGCACATGCAAAGGGCCTGTGGCAGAAAGGAATGCTGGGGGTCGGAGGGCCAGGAGGGCGGCCTAGGTGGCTGGAATGTGATGAGTGAGGGGTAGAGGAGGTTGGAGATGTCAGCCAGGGTCAGTCCAGGCAGTGCCCACCAGTCCATGAGCGTGGTGGACTTTCTCCTGCCGGCACTGGGAAGCCATGAAATGTTTGACACAGGCGTGACCTGACCATTCGTGTGGATGTTGTGACAACAAGGATGATGCTGGCAATTCTAGAAAGTCCTTAGTGAGTGCTTACTGTGTGCCAAGCACCATTTCAGCCACTTTCCAGAGGAGAAAGTGAGGGCTGGAGGGGGAAAGGGGAAGTGACTCATCCAAGGTCACGCAGCTGGTGCATGGCAGAGATGGACCCAGACTGAGTCTGTCTGGCTCCAAAGGCCCTGCTCTTATCCCACACCCAAAGCTGCCCCTGTCTGGATGTGAAAGGCCAAGAGACATGCAGATGATACCTGTCCCCTCCTTGCCCCATGCCTGGCTGTGGTGTTTCCTCCACTCTGCTCCGTGTCCCAGGCCAGGGTGGAGACTCCAGGTCACAGAGTTAGCCAGCGCTGGAAAGGCCCAGCTCAGTTCCCGTCAGGCCCAGCAGGGGGGAAGTAGAGGTTACAACATTAGAGGCAGAGTTCTGGAGAAGTCGGGACCCCAGGGGGGTAGGGCCTCCGTCGTAGCCTGTTCACTGGGGTGCAGGGCACGCTGCATCCCCAGGAGCAGAGCCTCACTCACCTGTTCCAGAGCTGAGGACTTCGAGACGCGGCTACAGTATCCCCAGGAATGGGGCAGCACCCCAATCCCCTGCTTCCTCTTCCCGTGGAAGCGGGTCCAGAGGATTGGACCACTATGGACTCACCAGCGGCATTTTTTTTTTTTTTTTGCATTTAAACAATTCTTATTCCCCCGGGGATTGTCAGAGAAATGAAAATCAAAAGCACACGAGATACTACTTCACAGAAGCTCACCAGGGTTGATGAGGACGTGGAGAAACTGGAACCTCGTGCCACGATGGTGGGAACGGAGGATGGTGCAGCCACTGTGGAGGACGGTGTGGTGTTTTTTCAAGAAATTAAAAATAGAATTAGCATACGATCCAGCAATCCCACTTCTGGGCACAGACCCAAAAAAATCGAAAGCAGGGGCTCAAGCAGATATATGTCCACGCGTGTTCACATCAGGGTTATGCACCAGAGCCGAAAGGGAGAGACGACCCGAGTGTCCCTCCGCAGACAAACGGGTAAACAAACTGTGGTCGGCCCATGTGATGGAATATCACTCAGCCTTAAAAAGGAAGGCAGTTCTAGCACCTGCTTCGGTATGGATGAACCTGGAGGGCATAATGCTACGTGAAATAAGCCAGACACCAAAGGACAAATACGGTGTGATTCCGCGTGTACTGGGTCCCTAGAAGGGGTGAATTCAGAGAGTCAGAGGGTAGAATGGTGGAGGCCCAGTGCCTGGGTTGGGGGGAGTGGGGAGCGAGTGCTTAATGGGGACAGAGTTCAGCAACCTAACAAGCATTCTGGAGATGGATGGGGGTGAAGCCTGCACAAGATGGTGAATGTACTTATGACTATTGAACTGCACGCTTCAAAGATGGCAAATTTAGAAAAAATCCTGGGGCGCCCGGGTGGCTCAGTCGGTTAAGTGTCTGACTCTTGGTTTGGGCTCAGGTTGTGATCTCAGGGTCCTGGGATCCAGCCCCGCATCTGGCTCTGAACTCAGCGTGGAGTCGGCTTGAGATTCTCTCCCTCCTTCCCCCTCTGCCCCTCCTGCTCATGCTGTCTCTCTCTCTCTCTCTCAAATAAATAAATACAATCTTTAAAAAGAATCCCTAGGGCACCTGGGTGGCTCAGTCGTTAAGCGTCTGCCTTCGCCTTGGGTCATGATCTCGGGGTCCTGGGATCGAGCTCCGCATCGGGCTCCCTGCTCCACGGGAAGCCTGCTTCTCCCTCTCCCACCCATACCCCCCCCCCCCGGCTTGTGTTCCCTCTCTCGCTATGTCTCTCTTCCAAATAAATAAATAAAATCTTTAAAATAAATAAATAAATAAATAAATAAAAAGAATCCCTAGTCTAAGTTCTTTCATGTTGTCACCGGTGGGCTTTCTTTTTAGCTGCATTTATAAGAAAAAAATTAAACTACTAGATGGGGGTTGTCTTTGAAGCAGTTAAGAGTCACAGATGCTGGTGTTCCTGGGCAAGTGACTTCACCTCTCTGAGCCTCACTTTTCCTCATGGGGCCATGTGGATAATGATGTTGCCTCCCTCCTGGGATCACTGAGGATTCCATGATATTCCATGATGCCCCCGAGATGATCCTCCCAGTGGCCGGTGTTCAGTGAGCACTTTACACCCAGCAGCCCTTAGAGCTGGCAAATACTCCTCAGGCCTTTGGGGTTTGGGAATATGAGCAGCACGGGCCCTGGTCAGTGGAAATAAGACCGCTTGCCCCACCCTGCACGTGGGGAAATTGAGGCCTGGAGGAGTCAAGGGACTTGTCGAAGGTCTGTTGGCATCCCTGGAACCAGAATGTGGTTTTCCAAATCTGTATCGGTTAGCAAGGCTAGGTTATGCTGCGGTAACAAAGGAGCTCCATATCAAAGTGTCTCAACACAACGCAAGTTTATTTTGTATCCAGCACAGTCTGCTATGAGTCCAAGGGGTTCTCCAGGGCAGTTGCCCTCCAGGTGAAAGCCCAGGGTTCCAGGCTGCCTCTGTTTTGCGGTACCTCCATCTCCGGGTCACTGAGGCAGGGAAAACAGCATCATCCCATCACTTCCTCCCTCAATTCACTGGCCAGCACTGGCCGCATCGCCTCCCCCTCCACAAGGGTGGGAGGTCCCGAGGAGGAGGGAAATGGCTGTGGGTTACTACTCACCATCCTAGTGGGATGAAGGCCAGTGGGAGTTCATGCTCACAGGTAAACTGAGTCAAAGAGAAAAGGGTTTAAAGCTGGAATGATTCCTTCCCCAACCTGAGCCCCCAGCTCCCTTCTTGGAACAACCACGCTTACCCTGTGGATTCCGTGAGTTTGCAAGTAGAGTGTGTATAGAGGTGCCCCTCCTGAAATACAAAGGAAGCCTTATTATTCTTTCTCCCTCCTTGAAGAAGCAGGCAGGTGTTTGTCATGGCCTCTTGCTCTTGCATCGGGCAGCGCCTTCACATTTATATAATCAGTCTCCCTGGATGGGTGTCTAGGTGGTTTCTAAAGTTCTGCTATTATCAACAGTGATGCAATGGATTTCCTGTGCATCTTCCCTTGTCATCCATGTGAGCGTTTCTGTGATATAAATTCTAAAAATGGAATCGCTAGGTCAAAGGGCAAGTGCATTGAACAATCTGACAACTCTCTGGCAGCAGGTGCTGCCTCCGGGGTCAGGAGGAGCTTTTAAGAATAGTGGCTGATGGAGCCCAGTGAGTTCCGGGGACCAGGCTGAGTTCTCCGTCCTGGGGAGGAGTTTCCAGATGGGCCACTGAGGAGGGGAAGCAGGAAGAGGGGAAGCCCTTTCCATCTTGACTCTGTGATCCCAGTTCTAATACCGGTGCTCTGCCATGCCCATTTCACAGATAGCGACCACTGAGTTCTAGAGAAGTTGAGTCACCTGCCCGCAGCCACCCAGGGAGCAGCATTTGAGCCACGGTCCCAGCCTGGGCTGAGTTCTCTTGGTTCCAAGATCCCAGCTCCACGCTGGAGACCTCCCGGATCCTTTCTTTACTGGCTCCTCTCAAAGACACTCATATCCCCCAAGAGCTTTCTTTTGGGAAGTTTCTGAAACTCATCTTCACTTCCTCAGGGACTCGCAGGGAGGGTTTAGTTCTATGGCTCCTCGGCTGCAGACCCATCAGCCTGTTCCTTTTCCCCTTCCTTGTTTTCTTATCCGCTTCATCTCTTTGCAAGAGGGAATGGCTACTTACAAGGCTCGGTCTTGTTGATTTTTAAATTCTCTTTCCTTTGGGGGCAACTTCCAAAGAGAGCTCCATCCCCTCCACACCCCGGGAGCAGGGGATTTCGGTCCCTCACCTTCCAGACAGCAAGAGGCTGACACCCAGCCCCCTCTGTGTCTTTCCCTTGTGGAAAGGCAAGGCGCTCTCTCTCTGCTTTGTTGTCCTGCCTCCCACTCCAGGCCCCAGCTGGGGCTTGGGTGGTCCTCCCTGGCAGGGTCTCTCTGGCAAGGGAGAGGGTGGGCCGCCCCCAGGCTGTTTCGGTCAGACCTCCCTCTTGGGAGGACCTTCACTCTAGGGAAGAAGGGGCCGCAGCTAAGGACCGGGGCCTGGCCTTATTGCTCTGGGAGGAGCCCGGATTTAGGGCAGCATGGTGGTGGTGGCTCTGGAACCCAGTCCAATACAGATGGGATGGGGAGAGAGAGTAAGGAAAACAGGTGCAGGGGGACCTGAGCAGCCAAGCTCTGGGGCCTCTTGGAGGCACAAAGGGTCTGACACTTTGGCAACAACATCCACCGGGGAGTGGCAAATGTGGCTGTCACCCCCAGTGGGGACGCAGGTGCCCCTGGCTGAGGGGTGGGTATGTGGATGGTGTGACAGTGCCCGCAGGAGAGGTGCTCTGCCCGGGGCCACAGTTGTCTCATTAACGTCTGTGAGTCCTTCCTGAGGCCCACAGAAACCCTTGGGGGCGGCTTGACAATGACCATGAGCAGGACAAGGGTAAGAGCCAATGGCACGCAGGGGTGACTCTGCTACCGCTTTAGGGGAGGGCCATCAGCGTCGGGGGCATGGGTTTTGGGGTCAGACAGATCTGGGTGACCTAGTTGAGCCTGGACTGGCTGTACAACCTGGAGCTCCAATTTCTCATCCACACCGGGCACAAGAGCCCCCACTTCGGTGGGCCCAGAGTAGGGACTGAACACAATGACTTTGTCCAATGTTCTGGGCCCTGCGAGTCCTCAGGGAGGCCTCCCAACACTGAAGTTAGAGTTGTGGTTTTGTCTGCTCACCCCTGGGGCGGTGGATTGGGGGGCGCTGAGTTACATCAGCGGGGGGACCTCAGGAAGCCATGATTCTCTGTCCCAAAGGGCTCCTAGTTATTTACAAAAGTGGGCTTTTACCCCCACTTTCCAGTCTCAACCTTGTGCTTTATTCCTTCTCAAAATAAATCTTATCCAAGTGATCGCTACCCAACGAAGCAGGGGTCAGGGCTGAGAGCCCACTGACCTGGCTTTCTTTGCCCGCAGTCCCAATGCCCCCAAGGGTCTCTGAAAGGCTTGAAAACAACTGCTTTAGGCCAACAAGAGTATCACTGGCCACAGAAGTAGAGTGGCCGATAGATTCCCAGAAGGGGGTCATTTTCCCAAAGCATTTCTCATTGTGCTTCTGTAAAAAGACCACAGAAGTCAGGGAAGTCTTTGGATGAGAGATGGGTGTTTCTGAGGTCACCGGGCTGGGACCGGCTGGGCAGCCCTGACTCCAAGGGTCCATCTCCCCTCCAGCAGCACTGACATGGCCTAGAAAGTTCTTATGGGAAGTACAGGGGAGCTGGGTGAGGACACGCCCCTCTGCCTTGCCAAAACCAGACCCAGCCAGAACCCCCATCAGCTCACTTCCAGCTGCCTGACCTGCAGCAAGTCCCCGCTCTGAGCCTCAGCTTCCTCATCTGTAAAATGGGGCCCCGGATGAGAGGGGCATGGGGGGGGCGGTGAGAGGAGCCGTGGGGCCCTGAGCAAGGCTCCTGGTAAATAACGGATCTTAGCACTTGTTAGTAGCAGTCGCAAGGGCGGTCCCAAATGAGGGCTGAAAGGAATCTAGAACCCTCACCCCAGAAGGGGAAAGGACTGGGCTAAGGTCAAACAGCAGGGTCAGAACTCAGGCCCCAAAGCCGAGGGCTCCGTGCCCTGAAGGGGAAGGCTAGTTGAGTGGAGGCCACCTTCTACCTACAGCATCGCATGGAAAGAAAGGATACAGATCCCCTGCAGAGGCTTGCCAGCGACTTCTGGGCTGGTCACAGGGGCAGGGGAGCTCTTTGGTGCTGACCACTCCCTGCCCCGAGAGAAGTTCCTGCTGCACTGTATTGTGCGCCACCAGGAGGCTACCCGGGGTGGAGGCAGGGACAGTCGGCATCGGTGAGCTAGATCAGGGAACAGTGCCACTGAGACACTGACCTAGGCACCGTGTGTAGCAGGGAGTATGGGGAAGCCCCTTGTCCTTGGATGAGGGGAGGGAGGCATCACTGGCCCAGTTTCCAGATGAGGAAATTGAGGCACTCTGCTCAAGGCCACAGACAGGATATGGGCTGCATACAGCGCACTATGACTGGAGACCCTGACTATTTCCCCCCCACCCCTGCCTGATTTTTAGAACTGGCATCACACCTTTATGACAAGTTCCCCATTCCTCATTTGTGCCTCATAAGCTGTGGGGATTTGTCAGAGGGGCCTTGAAATCTTCCGGACTCCCAAACAGATTTGAGAGTGGTTTTAGCCCTAGGGAACAGGAGGTCAGTCCCTGGGCCCATCTTACAGAGGGGGAAAGCGAGGCCCAGCCAGCTGAGGGACTTGTCGCGGTCCCTAGGGGCAGCAGTGTGGCCTCTGACTCCAGCCCAGGCCCTCCTGGGACAGCAGACCCCCTAGGCCCAGCTCCCACCTTCTCCCCCAACTCCAGTGCCCCAGTCCTCTGGAGGAAGATTTCCGTGGTCCCGGTTGGGGGTGCCAGACTGCCAGTGACGAGTGTTTTTTTAATCCCAGCCCGGCTGACTTAAAGGATTATTCTTATTTAAGGCAGGGACAAAATGCCAGAGCGTGGCAGCCGGTCACCTCCGGGCGGCGGCCCGTCCTCGCCTGCCTCCGGTGCCCAGCTCCAGCCCGGGCTGGAGCAGGAAAGGGAGGGGGGGAGACGGGAAGCAGGGGGAGGAAAAGGGGGGGAGGCACCGAGAAGGAGGAGGAGGAGGAGGAGCAGGATGGAGAAGGGGAGGACACGGAGAGGGTCGGAGGGGGTAGGAGAGGGAGGCGGGGAGCGGGGAGAGGGGGAATAGAACACGGAGTGGGGCAAAGAGGGAGTAGGAGGGCAGAAAGGGGCAGGAAGGAGAGGAGGGGGAGAGGGGGAGGAATAGCACAGAAAGGAACACCCCCCTTGGCAGCTCCCCAAGCAGATAGGAGGAGGGAGGGAGATACACAGATGAATAATTTACTACAGAAATGCAAAAAGAATTTAGAAACTCTCAATTTATAAATATTTATTTTCACAAGTTCGCCCCCTCCCGACGCTCTCCCCCCTTTCTGGCCCTGGTCTTTTCTTTTGGGGGGGGCCTCCACCTCCCCCCACCTCCGCGCTGTCTCCGTCTCTCCCACGATCGCCCTCGCTGTCTCTGTCCGTGGCCGTGACTGTCTCTCCCAGTCTCGCCCTCTCGGCCTCTGCGCCTGGGGTGGGGGCGGGGGTGTGCTTTCGCGGCTGCCTCTCTGTTCTCCACCTCCGTCCTTTGCTGCCTGAGTCTCCCCTGCCTGCGTGCGTCTCTAAGCCCTGTCTCTCGCTCTGTCTCTCCGTCTCTCGCTGTCTCTGGGTCGGTGGGCGTCTCTTCCGCTCCGGGAGCCCAGCCCCCGCCCCTCCCGGGGCAGGAGGCCGCGGGGTCGAGGGGAACCCTCGTGGGGAGGGGGCGAAACCCTTTGAAGGCTCCGAGGGGAGAGGTCGTTTCCCCGGCAACCGGCGGCCGATTGGCGGAGCCGCGACGGATTAACGAGCCGACTCCGGCGGGCGGGGGCGGGGAACGGCGGGAGCCACGCCCCGGACACGCCCCAGCCACGCCCCCTGCTCGGCTGCGGGGGCGCACCTGAGGTGGCATTTCGGAGACTCTTGCCGGGGCGATGGGGGCGAAAGGGGGTTTTGGGGAGTCCGGCCGGGAGGTAATCGGTCGATCAGTTAACCAATCAGTTAATCAGTCGGTGGGGCAGTCAGGTCCACAGAACGGAAGTTAAGAGCTGGGGGTGTGGAATGAGGGGAAACTGAGTTCTAATCCCCCCCTGGGCCTCGTCCTAGCGCTGCGTCCCTGAGCGAGTAGGTCCCTGCACCCCGCCTGCAGCGCTCGCCCTCCGGGCCGGTCACTGTCACCCCGTCCGTCCCTTTCATTCGCAGATGGAAAAGGGAGGCCCTGAGACGGGAAACCCCTGTAGGTCACAGAGGGACCTGGGAGGGTCACCTGCCATTTAACAAGC